TATTACGTAATACAAGTGAATTAAACTGCCAGAATACGACTTAGGAGTTAAGTTAATCGCGTCCATATATATTAGAATAAAATATATATTTAGCTTATCTTACGCAGGAAAAAAATATATAGAACTATTATGACATAATTTATTTTACATAAACTTATTTTGACATCCAAGGCAAAGTCTAAAGAATACATAAATTTTTCGAAAATTTGTAAATAGATCAATGACTTCCGAAAGATTTCTTGATTCTGTCTTCATTATTTATTATTGTTTTATGTTTGGTTCCATTTATTTTATTTTCCTGGGTAAGATGGACGAGATAGTTTGTATTTTTATATACTTATAAAAGTGTATCCCCGCACCCACCGAGTCCCAACAATACGAGTGAAGTTTGTTGACGAGTGATAAATTCTTTTAAGAATTATCTACAATAACTGCTTTGCCGAGTCTTTCAGTGCGATGACAAATATAAGGAATAGTTATTGGTGGTTTGAGACACAGTTAATAAGGCTAAGTGACATGCAAAAGTATGAAAATAGTAAAATATATGCCGTTCAAGACAACTCGTACCCTGGCAGTTTAATTCACCAGCTGTACAGTATTGCATAGTGACGTAAATAACTATACTGTGCATAAATAACAATGAATTTGTTGTGATAAGTGATATGAATGATTTTTTTTTTAATAACTAGTCGTAATTTGAGTGTTGTGAGGTGATAAACATCGTAGTGGTGAGAAGCTAAAGACAGACCTACGGTGTTGTCTCTGCCTTAGTGCCGGTAAGAAGTAAACGACGGCTTATAGAGGTCTGCAAAGTATCCTAAAGTGTTTATCAGTGTTATGAAGTGTTTGTAAGTGTCACAAAGTGTTTATAAATAAGTATTGTGAAGTGTTTGTGTTATGAAGGTTTATAAATTATGTGAAGTGTTTGTGTCATGAAGACTTATAAGTGTCATAAAGTAATTGTGGGTGCCAAAATCACCCAAACATGTCATAAGAGTGGTGAAAAGTGTTGTAAATTGGCATAAGGCGTTAGAGTGCCATATAGTGTCAAGTTATGTCACAACCAATCATGTAATATCCAAAAGTTGTATAAAGTGATTTTAAGTGGCAGTATGTCTGATAAAGTGCCATTAAGTCTAATAAGTGTAGTCAAATGTCATAAGATGTGGTGCATGGTGAAAAAAGTGCTATAAAGTGTCAGAGGTGCCATGAAATGTCCTAAGGTGTCAAAGTGTTCTAAAGTGTCAGTGTTCTAAAGTGTCAGTGTTCTAAAGTGTCAGTGTTATAAAGTGTCATAAAGTCTGGAATAGTTATAAAGTGTCCAAGCAACATAAAATACTACCATGCGGTGTTGAAAAGTGTCGTAAGATAATGTGAAGTCTATCAAAGTGTCGTAAGATAATGTGAAGTCTATCAAAGTGTCGTAAGATAATGTGAAGTCTATCAAAGTGTCGTAAAGTGTCATTAATATCGTAAAGTTTTGCAAGGTGTCGTCAAGTGCCATGGGGTGTCATAAAAGTGTCAAGACTGTGCCAGGTTGGTGACCCTGTATGGCGCCAGGACTTCCGCGACCACCAGCACAAGGTAAACTACTCGTACCAATAACAGTACTATGGCATGTTAAACAAGTTCTCATAGTCATCCATTTGGCATAAACTAATGCTTAAAATCATTGGTTCTGTCATAGTTGTTCCTGTAAGTTAAGTGTGTGTGTGTGTGTGTGTGTGTGTGTGTGTGATAGACGGCAGGTAATCTCAACTGGATTTTTCCTTTTCTTTTTCCAGGTAAGTGTGAGTTAAAACAGCTCTTCGAGGGACATTAACACACCATATCTCAGGTACGTCCAAGTTACATTTCCATTGATTATCGTTTTATTAATTAGCTAAGTGTGGAGTCCTTCGCGTCCCATCTTCCATCTTTGAGGACGTCGGTGTCCCTCCCTTTTAACAGTGAGTCAACGTAGTGCCTCCCACCCGTTCACGCGGACTTCGGATCCCACTTCTTATCTTTACACCGTCTTTGTGGTCGCATGTGGTCCAGTGCCCTTTCGTTGTGCATATAAAAGTCATCCCCTCCCCTTGAAAATTTTTAACCGATAACTTCACTTGGTCCATCCCTCCCTCATCCCCAGAAACACACAAACCAGGTAATCAATCAGTGGTCAGCCAAGGTGTAAAGTCAACGCTTGCCCCTGAATACGTTAGCATGGGTAAATTAACTTACTTCAGCGTACTTGGGAGATTAAAGTATTATCCTCAGTGGGTTAAAGGCTTTAGTAAAGATATCTGAGCTGCTTTGTTCAGTTCAGTGAAATATGTACTAAGTGATTTAACCCCTTGAGTATAGCAGTTGAACCCCATGAGTACTGTGGCCCTTGAATACTGTGATTTAACCCATTGAGTACTGTGATTTAACCCATTGAGTACTGAGATTTAACCCCATGAATACTGTGATTTAACCCCTTGGGTACTGTGATTTAACCCCTTGAGAACTGTGATTTAACCCCTTGGGTACTGTGATTTAACCCCTTGAGAACTGTGATTTAGCCCCATGAGTACTGTGATTTAACCCATTGAGTACTGTGATTTGACCCATTGAGTTCTGTGATTTAACCCCTTGAGTTCTGTGATTTAACCCATTGAGTACTGTGATTTAACCCCTTGAATACTGTGATTTGACCCATTGAGTTCTGTGATTTAACCCCATGAGAACTGTGATTTAACCCATTGAGTTCTGTAATTTATCCCCATGAGTACTGTGATTTAACCCATGAGAACTGTGATTTAACCCATTGAGTACTGTGATTTAACCCCTTGAATACTGTGATTTTGCCCATTGAGTTCTGTGATTTAACCCCATGAGACTGTGATTTAACCCATTGAGTTCTGTGATTTAACCCATTGAGTACTGTGATTTAACCCACTGTGATTTGACCCATTGAGTTCTGTGATTTAACCCCATGAGTACTGTGATTTAACCCATTGAGTTCTGTGATTTAACCCATTGAGTACTGTGATTTAACCCCTTGAATACTGTGATTTGACCCATTGAGTTCTGTGACTTAACCCCTTGAATACTGTGATTTGACCCATTGAGTTCTGTGATTTAACCCCTTGAGTTCTGTGATTTAATCCATTGAGTACTGTGACTTAACCCCTTGAATACTGTGATTTGACCCATTGAGTTCTGTGATTTAACCCCTTGAGTTCTGTGATTTAACCCATTGAGTACTGTGATTTAACCCCATGAATACTGTGATTTGACCCATTGAGTTCTGTGATTTAACCCCTTGAATATAATACTAACCCTCTTGAATACAAAGAATCAATCACTGCTGAAGATTGAGTACTGTGACTGATCCCTTAACACAAACTCTAAAAACTAAACGACAAATTATTCAAGACAATTCAGTGAGGTTCGTTCTTGACGCATAAACAAGACATCATGTTGGTAAGAAAGTCCTGGATCATGTTAAGTGTGGTGAGGGGGGTAGAGTGAAGCAACTGAGTAGGAAACGGCAAAGGATTTTCAACGGCCATTATCCACAGTCGAGCGAAAAACTATACTTTGCCTGAATTCCTGACCACATCAAAACCAGTAATGTTATCAAATAATTCAAAGGTAAAACTATTTGATGCCTAACAGATGAAGCTACGGCAAGGGAAGAGAGTGAGTTTGTATATTATTAACCACAGTTTGTTGTATTGTTTAAGTGATCCGCCAGCCTCTGATAGTCTAATTGCAATGTAATGGTTGTTGTGGTATCTGTTGACTTTGTTGGCTATCCTTGGTCGAATTGCCTTGTTGTTTACTCTTGTATACCTGCACTGTCTAAGTATACTTGCGTTGTCTATTACACATGCTGATCTGTATAGCTGCAATGTCTATATATATATGCTGAACTAATTGTAAACTGATTTTACTGATTTATTATTATTATTATTATTATTATTATTATTATTATTATTTTGACCTTTTACACTGCTTTAGTCAGCCCATCTCGAACTAACTTCGTTCATATATATTTTAAAATTTCGAAAACCCTAAATTGTTCACTTTTTATTAGGATGTAGAATAAAACATCAATACTATTACTATTTTCTTAATTATTAAACCATAGACGAGCATTAGAAATAAACTTTTTTTTTTTTAATATATGTAAAGTAGCAACATTGACAGTGAATTAAACACATTAGCTAACAAGTTCTATAAAATGTGAAAAGACATTATAAAATGATGCCACAAGTTGAAAAAAAAGCTAATCAATGGCATAAAAAAATCACTTACAGATGAGCATTTCTTTGTCCCATTATCAAGGTGGTGAGTTTGTACCGGTGTCACTTTAACTACGGTCAATATTATATTACTGAAGTGTTTTGTGCATTGCTTATTGTATATGAACAGTGACCAGTGATACTACGATAGTTCATTGCACAATACTGTCAGTTTATGTCATTAAATAAGAGTTGAAAATGACTACAATGTGTGTATGTGTGTGAAGACAAGACAGACTCGTGGCCGCGGGAACATCTTTCACTCGTTTTCTGTGTCGGTCACCTTATACGATAAAAAGAAAATCGTACCGTTATATCTAGGAGTAACTTTACTGTTTTTTATGACTAATTTCATTATGCGCCTCTACAGTAGTTTTCATTTTTTTTTTACGGGGATTAGCCCACCTGGGCACAGGTCACTGACCCACATTGGGGCCTGGGGAGCGAAAATGTAGTAATAATAATAGTAATAATAATAATAATTCATAGTCAATAAAATTTATAAAAATACAAAATTAAATGTAAAATAATAAAATGATAATGATATCAATAAAAATAATAATAATAACACTGTAATAATAATAATAAAGAACCATAAAGAAACAAAAATAATAGTGAGGAACGATATATGTATGTTGTGTTGTCAAAGTAAGAGAAACAATTGAGACCCTGCAATTGTGTGTAAATGAGGCAGACAGTCCGATCAGAAACCTGGGACTTGGTCACAATTTTTGTGATTCCATACGGCAGCAGGGTCTACCATTAGACAACACATTATGCTTCCAATATCTTCCCAGGCGGGAGTGCCTCTACTTCCACGTGTCAACGGTGGGGTCAGCGTCCACGTTTTAGTGAAGTATTATGATTTCCCACTGGTCCATCGGTGGTGGTCAAGAGTCTCTTTACTTTACTTTACTTTATCCTCTTCGCCACTGATCGGCCTACTAGCAGCTTGGGCGGTCGGTCACGTCTTTGTTATGCACTGTTAGTAATTACTGGACATGTATTGGTTACAGAATGTAACTGTACCTGCGCCAGTATTGGTCAAGTCTGGTCTTGAACGAGCTCACACTCGGTGCCGTGACAAAACTCTCTGGCAGATTGTTTCAAGAGATTCTCACTCCGAAAAACGTTTGCCCTGACAAGTCCCTGTACTTATAGCTTCTTTAATCTAAGGCTGTGACGTCTAGTGGGTACGAACACTCGACTGAGTAATGTCTTCGGAGGTATTTGTAAACTTCTATTAAGTCACCCCTTGCCCACCTATAGTATAAGCTCGACAACTGAGGGTGCTCTAATCTCTGGGTAACCGAGGTGCCGTAGTGCAGGCACCAGTCTGGTGGGTGGTCCTCCTTTGGATATTTTCAATCAACTGACAGTCTCTAGCATATCTCGGGGACCAAACAGGGTGACAGTTCTCCAAGAGGAGAGGCACCTCACTTATCACTTTTGAAGAACGTTACGAGGGATTGTGAACACCCTTCTTATAAGACCTATTAGTTTATTTTCCGTTACTTTCTTTTCACAGTGGTCTGAAAACTTCACCTGGTTGTCCATTACACACCCAGGTCCTTTACACCCTAGGACCTAGGTGGTGGTGGCGGTGAAGAGTCCTCCACGCAGCATAGTCAGCCTCACTTATAACCTGACATTAAACTAGAAAAGGGTCGAAGGTTTATTGTGTGACCACAAAGGGACGGAAATTGGATTCCGCAATAACACAAGAAATAAATCCCTGAAATATTTGAAGTAATGTTTTCGTAAAGAACCTAAAACTATACAATATATAATCGTCTTTCTCATCATGTTTACTGTCCATATGACATCATTTTGTCTTTTTGCGCTTGATTCTTTTTTCTTTTTTCTTTTTGCGTGAGCAGTAAGATCAATGGGACTCAGAAATGTTTTTAACAGTACCACAACAGCGAGATAAACTGGAATCATCTCTAGCCTCTGGGCAGGAGAGACGACGGTGCTGGCCTGGGTCACAGCAGCTCTGTGTCCGCCACGCTCCTGAGGGACGAGTGGCGGTGGCGACTGCTGCGGCGGCGGCGGCCAGAGTCAAGGTCACTTGTAGCACTGAAGACGGATATCGTCGACGGACAAGATAAAGAAGGCGATGCTGCTGAAGCTGCTGCTACTCTGGCGGAGGTAGGTGACGGCGTGGTGGAGGGAAGGTGTGTGTTCAGGAAAGGTTCAGAAGGCGTCATGATAGTGGACGCTTCTGACAGGGTGGTGCAGGGAAGAAGGGGTGCGCTTGCGGCAGAGTAGAGACATAATTCTGTATATGTCAGCACATTCATATCTGGACTACTTGACGTTCCAGATGCTGACAGCTGGTTGACAGACTGACCCAGACTAGAGAACAAGGACTCCTGTGAATTGGAAAGTCGTTCAGACGGGGAGAACAATGGCGGAGAAGCGTGGACGGGCACACCTGGATGGGTGGCTGGGGCACTGACAGGCTTTACGGACGATACAGACGTGTTACGCTGTGGCCGGGGAAGAGATGCACTCGCGGGAAATACACTTGCACATGGATATGCCTTTGGCGTCGTCACTTGCAAACTGGAAACAGAAGACGGGCCCATGCTACTGTTTTCCAATGCGTCACCGCTAATTCGGGGAGTTAGAGATGGATAAGATGGAGCACCAACAGAGGGACTAGAATGTGACGCAACAGACTGGAGGATCGGGGGGAATGTGACTGAGTTTTCCTCTTCATCTGTTGGCTTATGTGGTCCGGGACACACAATCGTGAAACCTTCTGGCTCTGTGTTGGGGACGAGAGGGTCACGGGGAAGCCTCCTGTGAGAGGGTCGAGTACAGAAGGTCTTTGATTCCCCAGGCGGCTCTGTGTTAAACATAGCGAGTGTGTGCGTGTTGGCACTGCTGGAGGCAGGTAGATATAAGGGACAGGGGTGCCAAGAGTTGAGACTTTCCTCCTGTCTCTGTAGTTGGCACCAGTCACTCTCCTCCCTCTCTGGTGTGCCTGCAGACATCGAGAATAACAGTTACCAATTTGTGTAGACAGGCGTGAAAGTTAATGATTAGAGACAATTAAAATGTTTTTCATTTTATTAATATTAAAAAGATGCATAAAGAAATACCAACCAGAACACTAACCTTCATCACCACACATACCAAACACGACACACAGTACACAAAACATTATCTCTATATACACACACACACACACGCACACACGCACACGCACGCATGCATGCACGCATACATACGCACACACACACACACTCACTGTCGTTGCTGAGGTCGGAGGTGTTGGTGAGTTGGCTGAAGAGCTGAAGGTCATCCTCGTCGCTGCAGCTGGTGAGGTACTGGGTGTTGTCCTCCTGCCCCACCGCCTCCCTGCTGAAGGACAACACACACCTGGTTACCTGCCTTGTTAGTCATGCAGTGCCGCGCCGCCATGATATAGGATCACCTGAAGATTAGATACCCAGCTTATCTCACCAGATAACTGACCACCTCAACGCCCCCCCGCCCAGGAAGCGTTAAGGTGATAAATCATCAGGTTAAATAAGCTGGGGGGTTAATCTTCAGGTGATCCATCGGTGGTACGCGGATCATCCCTGGCCGTAGGCGTCGTGTTTCTTATTTTTTTGTTACTTTACTTTATGTGAAAAATAATAGCTAGTGTTTGCAATTATAGATCCTTAATAATTTTTTTTGGTGTGTTATTCAGTATAACGTGTGTAGGAAACAGCAGAGAGTCAAGGGATGACCACGTGACGTGTGTGTGTGTGTGTGTGTGTGTGTGTGTGTGTGTGTGTGTGTGTGTGTGTGTGTGTGTGTGTGTGTGTGTGTGTGTGTGTGTGAATTACAACATACATTAACACAATAACAATCACAGGGTCATTACCTGATGGAGTGGACGGCGCGGTTGTGGTAGAAGGACACCTGTTTAAAACTCGTCTTAAAGTCGTCGGTCACGTGCTGCCGGTGGGGAGGTTAATATTGATGAATGAAAAATTGTAGAGACTTTGATCACGTAACAGTAAAATATCCCATACTAATTAGTTCTGATTTATTAGACTTACAAAAATACTGTTTAAAGTCTTGTAGTGAATAATATTACTTGTAGATTTTATTACTGTTGTTATTGTTAAGAGTTATGAGCCATATCTGAGGTTTAAAAATGAAAAAAAAAATCAAAGTTATGAAGGAATATTATGGAGCGAGACACAGCGAGGGTTTATAAACATCTCGACCCATTGTATTGTTGTCCTTTTAAGTAAGCTGAACAGAAGGAAGGAGGTTGGCGTCACCTGGAGGAGGAAGCTAGTGATGTCGATGAAGGAGGGTCTCTGGTCAGGATCAAACTTCCAGGCTCGGCGCATCAAGGTGGCCAGTTGTGTAGGGCAGTGTCGGGGGAGACTCGGCGTGGCTCTCTGTTCCACCACCAGCTGGCACACCTCGTCGTTGGTGTTATTCTGAGAGACACAGGGAAGGTGGGTAATAGAGGATGCCATAAACTGTGTACTAAACAGCATGGCCGGCACTACACGCGATCACCTTCACATGTAAAGTTAAGTAACCCATCTACTGCTGGGAGCGCCCCGGGGTTGACTTTATTTTTGCATCTCCTACAGGAACGAAATTGTAATGTCTCGCTTCGTTGTGGATAATTCTCTGTGTAGTGAGACTCTTCTACTGACCCCAAGTAACGTAACCTCACTGACCCCAGACAGCCTCAGTCTTATCCTCTTACTCTATATAAAAAAAAGAAGAATATCAGGGTCGATCGCTGTGAGTGAGTCCTCATGATTAATACGACTCATCCTCTCCTCCAGACTACAGTGAGCTATGTCCTCTGATGCTTCTTCTTACTCCTGCCTGACGGTTAAAACCTTTATCGTACAGTGACACAGGTACAGTGCACCAGCCTCAGTTTGGGCGACTCACTACACATACTGTTAATCTACAGAGCCAATATGTGAGCAGTGACTATCTTGACCTACAGTACGTGATGGTTTCTGTCGATACTCAATATACTATAGGGTGACCTTGTTCCCTGCCCACCACACGACTACAGGTAAAGTCAACAACTAAAGTCCATTCGCCTCTCCCCTTGGACCACGAACCCCGAGATTCAGACTCATCAATCCGAAGCAGTAGACTAATACATTATTCTGTCCATTAATGCTTCGGATTCATGAGTCTGACTCCCGGAGTATTAATCATCATCATCTTCCACTGAGGGAGGTTGTCGTGTCGACAACCATAGTTTTAGACGCGAAGACCCCTCACTGCAGCGCACGACAGAGAGGGGCGGCGGAAAAACGAACTAATAATATTGGAATTTGGAGGTGTGGCTCGGACTGATCTTCGTTACCATCTTTGTAATTGTTTTGTTTGTTTTATTGGATATTTATAGTAACTACAATTTATGTACAAAGAAAATCATAATGTTAATTTCATAAACTTACTTTTTTTTACATTAATGTTTTTACGACCAACATTACGAAACTTTCAAAAGACTTGTGTTTTGTTTTACTGCCAAGTGCAAGCTCATTCAGCTGCTGGAGTCACGTCACCTTACTAACGCTGTCACTAATCAGGTAAGTACTTTTAAGATAATTTATGCAACGTTTTAGCAGTTCGTGGTTCAGGATGAGAGAACAGACTTAAATAGTTGACTGTACCTCTCTTATGGTTATACTCACCCCGTAGGGCCTGTCTCCCCTGGTGGCCATCTCCCACAGGAGGACGCCGTAGCTCCACACGTCACTCTGGGTGCTGTACAAACTGAACTGGAGGCTCTCTGGCGCCATCCACCTCATCGGCAGCGCCCCGCTCCCCTCTGTAAGGAAACCAGCCAGCAGAAACTTTCGTTTATATTTGAATTACATTCATGCAGGACTTGTTGTGTGACAGATTGTGTGAACAGAAATGACTCCCTGTTTATTAATATATAATCACACTCACAAATACTACTACTACTGCTTTGATGCCGTTCGAAATCGAGTATGACGATCATTCAGCTATGACACAATGATATGAGTTATTAATGCGCCTGGAATAAAAGCACAGGAGGCGTCCCTTCACCGACTCTCACCCCTATTGTAGTAACTGGAGTTGTACAGGTTCCTCGAGAGGCCGAAGTCCCCGATCTTGAGGGAGAGGTTGTGGTCCAGTAGACAGTTCCTGGCGGCCAGGTCTCTGTGTACCAGCTGTTGCCCCGCGAGATACGCCATCCCGTCTGCCGCCTCCACCGCCATCTGCAGCACTTTCTGCAACACACACTGATAACTCTACCGCCACCTGCAATACTTTCTGCAACACACACACTGAAAACTCTACCGCCATCTGTAACATTTCCTGCAACACACACACTGATAACTCTACCGCCATCTCTAACACTTCCTGCAACACACACACACACACACACACTCCACTGCCATCTGTAACACTACACTAACTCCGCCACTGACGATTAATCACACTTGAAGTACAGATGACGACAGAGTCACAGGTGTGGAAGATGACTCACTGACAAGTATTATTGTCAGTCAGATCAGTGAAGCCTGACCAACACACAGACCCTCAGCCCTTAACACACAGACCCAGCCCCTTACCCTGACCAACACACAGACACATGCACAGCCAGCCCTTACCCTGCCAGCCCTTACCCTGACCACAGACCCAGCCAGCCCTTACCCTGACCAACACACAGACAGCCAGCCCTTACCCTGACCAACACACAGACCCAGCCAGCCCTTACCCTACCAGACACACTGACCAACACACAGACCCAGCCAGCCCCTGACCAACACACAGACCCAGCCAGCCAGCAGACCCAGCCAGCCCTTCCTGACCAACACACAGACCCAGCCAGCCTTACCCTGACCAACACACAGACCCAGCCAGCCCTTACCCTGACCACACACACACAGACCACCAGCCCTACCCTGACCAACACACAGACCCAGCCAGCCCTTACCCTGACCAACACACAGACCCAGCCAGCCCACCCCTGACCAACACACAGACCCAGCCACTCCTGACCAACACACAGACACCCAGCCCTTACCCTGACCACACACAGACCCAGCCAGCTCCCCACCCTGACCAACACACAGACCCAGCCAGCCCTTACCCCTGATCAACACACAGACCCAGCCAGCCACCTGACCAACACACAGACACCCAGCCCCTGACCAACACACAGACCCAGCCAGCCCTTACCCTGACCAACACACAGATCCAGCCAGCCCCACCCTGACCCAACACACAGACCCAGCCAGCCCTTACTCCTGACCAACACACAGACACCCAGCCCACCCTGACCAACACACAGACCCAGCCAGCCCTTACCCCTGACCAACACACAGACCCAGCCAGCCCTTACCCTGACCAACACAGACCCAGCCTGCCCTTACCCTGACCACACACAGACCCAGCCAGCCCTTTCCTGACCAACACACAGACCCAGCCAGCCCTTACCCTGACCAACACACAGACACCCAGCCAGCCCTTACCTGATCAACACACACCCAGCCAGCCCTTACCCTGACCAACACACAGACCCAGCCAGCCCTTACCCTGACCATCACACAGACACCCTGCCCTTACCCTGACCAACACACAGACCCAGCCAGCCCTACTCCTGACCAACACACAGACCCAGCACACCCTGACCACACACAGACCCAGCCAGCCCTACCCTGACCAACACACAGACACCCAGCCCTTACCCTGACTAACACACAGACCCAGCCAGCCCTTACCCCTGACCAACACACAGACCCAGCCAGCCCTTACCCTGACCAACACACAGACACCCAGCCCTTACCCTGACCACACACAGACCCAGCCAGCCCCACCCTGACCACACACAGACCCAGCCAGCCCTACCCTGACCAACACACAGACCCAGCCAGCCCCAGACAACACACAGACACCCCTGCCCTTACCCTGACCAACACACAGACCCAGCCAGCCCTTACCCTAACCAACACACAGACACCCTGCCTTACCCTGACCAACACACAGACCCAGCCAGCCCTTACTCCTCCAACACAGACACCCAGCCCTTACCCCTGACCAACACACAGACCCACCCAGCCCTTACCCTAACCAACACACAGACACCCAGCCCTACTCCTGACCAACACACAGACCCAGCCAGCCCTTATCCTGACCAACACACAGACACCCAGCCCTACCCTGACAACACACAGACCCAGCCAGCCCTTACAGACCAACACACAGACCCAGCCAGCCCTTACCCTGACCAACACACAGACCCAGCCAGCCCTTACCCTGACCAACACACAGACCCAGCCAGCCCACCCTGACCAACACACAGACCCAGCCAGCCACTCTGACCAACACATCCAGCCACCCTTGACCAACACACAGACCCAGCCAGCCCACCTGACCAACACACAGACCCAGCCAGCCCTTACCCTGACCATCACACAGACCTGGTCGCTGAGGAAGCTTCTGTTGTGTTTCCTGAGGAAGGTCTTGAGGTCTCCGTTCTGCATGAGTTCCATCACCACGTACGCAGGCGAGTAGTCCCCCACCACACCCAACAGGCGCACCACGTGATGGCAGTCGATGTTCCTGTAGGTGGGGGGGAGGGGGGGCATTGTACACTAATCATAACCCTTTACTTACTGTCTCCTCTTCCCCCTCCTCCTCTTCCTCCTCCTCCTCCTCTTCCTCCTCCTACTCCTCTTCCTCCTCCTACTCCTCCTCCAGCATATCTCCTCTCTCTCTCCCTGTCCTTCTATCCTGGCCCACACTCCACCTTTCCTTCTCATCCTCCTTTCTAGTTTACATCCTCACCATCTATCCTTCTTCCTCATTCATCCTACCTTCTTCTCCACCCTTCCTCCTCCTCTTCTTGTCTCCTTGAACCTTGCCCACTCTCCCATTCTATACAACACAGTGTACATCAAGGAAAACGTAGATCATAATGCACTATACAGCTCTCCACAGCCACTGTATGTACTGTATAGTGTTTGTTATCCAGCTGCCGAGGATCTACCCACCTGAGGTTCTCCGTTCACTCGGTCATGAGATTAGCATTACCTTTAAAAATTATATAAAGGAAGAGAAGAGGGAAAAATAAGACACATTATGAACCTTATTGTATTCTTATATTACAAGTTATACACGTACCGCACCTCGTTCACACACACACACACACACACACACGTGAAGGTTGACTCACTGCATGTTAGAGGCTTCTTTTAAGAATTGAGATATATCCTCGACGGAATACGTGTCATGGTGGGTCTTGACTGCCACCCTCCTACTGCTACTGCTTCTGTTTCCTCCTCCGGTCTTCAGCTCCCCCACGAACACCATCCCGAAGTATCCGTGGCCAAGTGGCTCATCTCTCAGCACCTTCAGGTTGTCCCTCCATAGGATGAACTCCTCGCGGAATATCTCTGAAGGGCCGAAACCTTCTGTAGGAGAGGTCACCGAGGATGGGTTATTGGTCGCCAGGCTGTGGTGCTGTGTCGTGGATACTGTACAACACACACAAGTACATATTACATAAAATGAAGAAGCTTACCTTTATAGAAGCGATTATCATCATAATACTTGAGGTAATTGGGGATGGTGTGAGAGCGTCGCCACCACCATACCACCACACTGCTTACCACGACCACCACCACTACCACCACTACCACCACCACAGTCATCCACCACACCACGCCACCCTCCTTTGGTAACTTCCTGTCCTGGTGAACACATAGATTTAATTAAGGAGAAAGATAAGATAATAATCGTGTGTTTATTTACATTTATTGTCTCACACTTGACCTTAAGGTACAGCAAGTGACACAGTTATCTTTTTTACAACGAGGTCATGAGTGACGTCATAACACTGAAACTAACCAACTCAACGGGGAAATTAATGCGATACTGAATCCTCATAAAAAAATTGTCAAACAAGGTCCTTTAGGGTGGTAGTTCAGTGTTATAATCACCACAACACAGCAACTATGGTTAGGTTAGGTTAGGTGAATGTAAGGTTAGGTTAGGTTAGGTTAGGTTGAGTTGCGTTGGGTAGAGTTGGGTTGGGTTGTGGTGAGGTGAGGTTAGGTCAGGTAAGGTGAGGTGAGGTCAAGTCAGGTGAGGTTAGGTTAGGTTGTTGTTCTTACCGGCAGGAAGAAGAGGACAGGTGGGCAGTAGGAGCCGTAGCCTGCCGTAGTCCTCACCCTCACACTGCTGGTATAATTACCTGGTGGCAGATCCCTCACTACCGTCTGCCTTCCTCCTGCCTCATACTCCCGTTGGCTGATACACTTCGTCTTCTGCCGCTGTGGATAAAATCACCGCTTTTAAAACTAACACACACGCACACACACACACACACACACACACACACACACACACACACACACACACACACACACACACACACACACACACACACACACACACGAGGGTATTGATAGACAGGAACTGAGTGAAGCTATAGTGTTGTCCCTTACTGTACAGAGGTCGGGTTTTATCTTCATTCCGTCACATCAATGGTGGTGGTGGTGGTGGTGGTGAGTGATGATGGTGGTGATGGTGGTGGTGGTGGTGGTGGTGATGGTGATGGTAGTATAGTAGTGATAGCGATGAAGGCAGTGAAGGTAACGGCGATATGGTGTCGGATACGATGGTGGTGGCGATAGTGGTGAAGGTGGTGAGGATGGTAGTGACCAACAGTAGGAGAATTATGGTAGTGGTGATAATAGTAATTACCTCTCCGGTGGTGTACTGGAGGTGGTAGGAGACGACGACGCCATTGGGTGAGTGTGGAGGCCGCCAGGAGAAGGTGACGGAGGAGGAGGTGTTGTAAGGGACGGCGAGTAGTGACCCCGTCGGCACCACGTCCGCTGAGGCTGTGGGTGGTGGTGGAGAGTTATTGTGGCGGTGGTGTGGTGGTGATGTGTGTGATGGTGATGGTGTGGTGGTGTTGTGTGGTGATGGTGATAGATGGTATGTGTTGTGTGGTGATGGAGAGTTATTGTGGCGGTGGTGTGGTGGTGATGGTGTGATGGTGATGGTGTGTGGTGGTGTTGTGTGGTGATGGAGAGTTATTGTGGCGGTGGTGGTGGTGTTGTGTGGTGATGGTGATGGTGTGGTGGTGTTGTGTGGTGATGGTGTGGTGGTGTTGTGTGGTGATGGAGAGTTATTGTGGCGGTGGTGTGGTGGTGGTAGTGATGGTGTGGTGGTGATGGTGTGGTGGTGTGTGTGGTGATGGAGTTATTGTGGCGGTGGTGTGGGGTGTGTGTGGTGGTGATGGTGGTGGTGTGGTGGTGATGGTGATGGTGTGGTAGTGTTGTGTGGTGATGGAGAGTTATTGTGGCGGTGGTGTGTGGTGGTGTGGTGGTGTGGTGGTGATGGTGATGGTGTGGTGGATGGTGATGGAGAGTTATTGTGGTGGTGGTGTGTGGTGGTGATGGTGATGGTGTGGTGGTGTTGTGGTGATGGAGAGTTATTGTGGTGATGGTGTGGTGGTGGTGGTGTGGTGGGATGGTGTGGTGGTGGTGGTGATGGAGAGTTATTGGGTGGTGGTGGGTGTGGTGGTGGATGGTGATGGTGTGTGGTGGTGGTGGGATGGGTGTGGTGGTGGTGGTGGTGATGGAGAGTTATTGTGGTGGTGGTGTGGGTGGTGGGTTGTATTGTGACGGTGGTGTGGTGGTGAGTTGTGTGGTGGTGATGGCGTGGTGGTGGTGGTGATGGAGAGTTATTGTGGTGGTGGTGTGGTGGTGGATGGTGTGGTGGTGGTGGTGATAGTGTGGTAGTGGTGGTGGTGGTGTGGTGAGTTATTGTGGTGGTGGTGTGGTGGTGGTGGTCTGGTGAGTTATTATGGTGGTGGTGGTGTGATGGAAAGCTACTGTAGTGTGGTGGTGATGGTGGTGGTGACAAAGATTTATTGCAGTGGCTCTGGTGGTGGGGTATTCATTGAGACTCGTTCCACATCAAATATTAATAACTTACTATATTCCTTTAGTTGTTAAATCATCAAAAGGTTAGCCTCACCTACCTACCTACCTACCTACCTACCTACCTGACGCTACTCTGGTACAATGAAAATAACAACAGTTTTACCCGCGAACTCTGAGTCACCACCACAAGATCCCATACCTGTGATATCTCTCACAAACAAACACACTATCTTGTTCTTTGACTTAATCTATAGACAATATTTTCAGAAGTAAATCCTAACATCATTGGCTATCTCCTCATATTTATACTGTATAATTTTTAACTCAAATAGTCATCAGTAATTTGTTATGGATTTAAAGGATGAACAGTAGGCAATTATACTGAGTACGATCTGAATATATATCCACATCCACCTCCCCCCCCCCTCCCCATGGCCAGGATATAACCCCTTTGTATATGACGACTTACCCCTACGATTACGACGACTTAACCATCTGAATATGACGAGTTAAGAGTACGATGATTTAACCTTTTGAATACGATGACTTAAACCCTTCGAGTACATCTTTAAATAATGATGAGAGATAAAGTTGTCCTGTAACGAAACTGAGTGAGGTGTTGTGTGGGGGAGCGCTGTACTGTATGGAGGAGGAGGTGACTTACTACTGACGGAGGTGGTGACTTACTACTGACGGAGGTGGTGGCGGCGGTGAAGGCGGCTACACTGGAACACAACTTGCACTGGACGACTACTTCTGCCGTGGGGGTGTTAGTGGGTGTAGGTGTGGGCGTGGAGGTGCAGGTGGTGGGCGGAAGGCAGGCTACTACTCCTACCAGGTAAGTTGAGAAGTGACGCAGGTGGTGTAAGGTTATGCGTGGCTCCCGGGTCCCTCGTTGTACCATTACCAAGGTACCTGAGAAAATGTACACATACCTTTTACTAAGTACACATGTATTCGTACATATTTACTACGTATACATACATATAACTTTACAATGGATGTGTACAGTACGCTACCTTTGATACGGAGATGTACAGACACCTTTACTAAGTACATGTACACACCATCTTCACCACACACACACACACACACACACAGATGAGAATATTGGTGGCAATGATGATGATGGTAGTGGTGATGGTGGTACTGGCATTAATGGTGGTGATGGTGATGGTGGTGGTGTAATTGGACATTGATGGAGAGGAACACGGAGGAGGTGAGGAGGAAGACTTGTAGATGAAGGTTACTGACCGTTAGTGTAGGGAGAGACAGCGTCGTGTAGGAGGCGAGGGTCGTGCAGCTGGTACCGAGCCACTGTCTGCGTCCTTCCTCCCTCACTCACTCCCACGACCCTGTGTGTGTGAGTGAATGAGTGAGTTAAACACACACACACACACACTCTCAAACTCACACTATTATCTATCACATACTAAGTTAAGATCCGTTACCTCAATACTATTTAAGAGACAGGTAAGAGTGAGTTACCTGACGCTGTTGTTGCTGAAGAAGCCATGGCCGACGGGTACCTGCAGCTGGAGCCCCTCACCACCCGTCAGCGATCCCCGGAACACTCCACCGTAGGAGATCAACTGATCGTCTGTGATGTAGGTGTTAGGCGGTAGTATAAGACGAGGAGGGTCCTGTAGGGTGTAAGGGGCGCCATGCAGGTTCTCAGCACTGGTAGTATGAACTGGTGAGTGCTGAGTGCTGCTGAGAACTGAGCCTCGTGTTTCCCAGCCAGGATAGGGACGTCCCCCTTCCTCGTGTATGCTAGGACGAAAATAAAATATCAAATAAATCCTTCATAAATTTTACACCTCCGCATTCCCCACCAGGGCGGAGGAAAATAATGAGTATTTTAAACCTGCATAAAATATCATAACATACACCACAAGACTCACTGTACACCTCTCATGATACTGGTGTGGCCGCTGGGGGTGTGACGCTATTGGTGTGGCCGCTGGGGGTGTGACACTATTCTACAGTCATCACAGCGAGAAAACACTAAAGAAAGTTCATATTGAGGTGAATTTTAATCTTTCATTTTTATATGTGCTGAATCAGACTGGTGTGTGTGTGCGTGTGTGTGCGACTAGTTAATAATTTAATTATAAACATTGACTTACTTTTCAATGCCAACACCCTTGAGTATATGTTCCTCAAAGTCTGCCTGAGTGTTGTGTTGTGTGTGGTCATCATCTTCCTCCTGCTGGTGGTCACAGGTGCAGCAGGTATGGTCAGAGGTCGCCCCACACACCTCCTCCCCTTCCTTCTTCTCCCCTCTTTTCTCCTGCCCCGATCCTTCCTCTTCCTCCCACCTCATCTTAGCTTCCAGAGAGGACGTCCTTCTCGACTTTATCTCCTCCGATATTCTTCCGAGGCTTCCCTGAACTACAGCAGGAGGTGTTGGGGGAGACAAGTGTGTACAGGTGGAACACAACGACGTGTTTAGTTTTTATCCTAAATTATTTTTACTTATTTTTATATTTGCTTATATTTGTCTTAATCACTCTAGAGTAAGGTTATGAAGCCCCCCTCTCTCTCTCTCTCTCTCTCTCTCTCTCTCTCTCTCTCTCTCTCTCTCTCTCTCTCTCCTACACTGACACTTCTCTCGCACTTCTCTGGCCACACACACACACACACGCCTCCTGTCTCTCTCACACCCCCTCCCTCCTTGTAGACTTTCTCCATCTACCTCATTACACATCCTCCATGATCATGTTCAGTGCCACAGTAACAGGCACTGGAACCTTTCACTCCTCAAGTTAAAAGTGCCACAGACTCGAGGCTTGAAATCCCCCATCCCACCCTTCCTCCCTCCAGTATTTTATAACTGACCAGACAGGCGCCCGGTGTAAGGCCCAGGAAGGGAGGCCTTACCACTTAGTGAGCTGCAGAGGTTGAGGTGGCCAGGGAGGGTCCGGGGGGAGGGGAGCATGAGGGCGGTCACCAGGTAGTGGTCGACTACACCGTGTGGGTAGCGGGGCGGCTCCCACCATACATCTAGGGTAGAGTCGCTACTGGACGCCCATCGCACGCCCACGGCCTCGCTAGGGTCTGTAGGGGCGGTTATACAGATGTAAACAAGTAAAATGATGAAAAAAAAGGTCTACTGATATAAAAATTGGTTCTTAATGTGAATCTGATTTTTCCAAGATGTCATCACGGTACAGTCAAATGATCACTTCCGTTTTCTTTACACATCTGGTTTACATTATCAGGAATGACTTAAATATATAAACACTCACATAATGTACTAAGAGATCAGAGGCGCTTCTAGCATAAGCTGTTGATACTTTGCGATGTAGTGAAGGTGATAGAGAAGTATTATAGTCGATTCAAACAATTAACTGAAGGTAACAGAGTTTGGAACAACTTAACATTGATGGGATGATCTGGAGAACCGGCAGTGAAGGGGGTCAGGCAGTGAAGGGGGGCTGACAGAAGGGGTCGAGATATGAAGGGTCACGTGGGGGAGAGACCTATAATTGAAGGGGTCGTCGGGTGATGAAGAAGGGAGGTGATGGATACTCACTGAAGGAACTGGTGGTGGCGTAGACGAGGGAGGACCTGGTGCCGTTAGCAGCCAGGAGGGGACTGTGGGTCTTGACGTAGAGGGCGTAGCGAGTATTGGGTGTCAAGCCTCCTACCTCCACCTCCAGCCTCCTACCACCCGCTACCTCCCGTTGCACCTCCACCACCGACCACCTGTAAAGTCAATCTTCATGAGTATCAACCTTAGTACACCCAGAATAACATCAAAGCAGAAAAAATATTGCCACAAAAAATCAAAGGTACTGAGTGGTAGTGGTAGTGATGGTGGTGGTGGTAGTGATGATGGTGGTGACGGTAGTAGTAGTAATAGTAATAGTGTGCAAAATTCGATGTTTCATTACGACAGAAAGGCAACACATCCTAAACAAAACACTTCAACAACCGGTCGCAACAAATGTCAGAGATCGTAAAGAGAAAAGTAGAGGTAGCACAGGAGGTGGGCACCTGAATCTTGCCAACAACTTTACTGATAAGAACAAACGGCTTAATAAACTAGAATTCACTGACGCCATTGCTCTAAGGTACGGATGGCCAGTGGAAGGCATGCCCGTCCAATGTGTGTGGGGGAACATCCGACGACATGGTGTGCAAGATGGGGGGCTTGCTTGCATGAGGCACGATGGAGTAAGGGACCTCACAACAAAAATGTAGGAGATATGCCGCGACATCATTGTCCAACCGAACCCTCCTCCCATTGTATGGAAAGCGTTTCCCTTCACCGGGTTGCCAAAACATCCAACGAAGCCTGTGTGGATGTCAGTACTCGAGGATTCTGGAGGGGACAACGAGCCTTCTTTGATATCAGGATATTTGACCTCCTGGCTGCTTGTCACCCTGACCTATCTCTTGAGGCTGCACACACAGAAGGAACGTGAATGAAAAGAACACAATGTAGCACAGAGAATCCTGAACGTGGATCACGGCAGCTTCACTTCTCTGGTGCTCACACCATCGGGTGGGATGGGACCTAATGCAAGGTGCTTCTGCACTAAGACTGGCTGAGATGTTATCCGAATAGAAGCAGCAACTCAGAAGTTAATTTGTGGCCTGTTTGAGATGTCGCCAATACTCCACTGTGCTCAGGTTTGCCCTGTTGTGTCTCGGGAACAAGATCTTCGGCCCCAATACCAACAACAGTTGCAGACATATACTATGAGGCGACAGTCACTGACTGCCACGCAGATCTGTAGCTGAACTAATTCAGGTAGGGTAAATAGTATTGTATTAGGATAATTACGTAATAAAATAGTTAATAAGATATGTCTAAGGGGAGGCTGGAGGCCATTATTCTGACAGTAGTAGTATCTCGTATTATTATTATTATTGTTAGTAGTAGTAGTAGTAGGAGGAGGAGGAGGAGGAGGAAGAGTAGTAGTAATAGTAGTAGTAGGAGTAGGAGTAGGAGGGGGAGGAGGAGGAAGAAGAGTAGTAGCAGTAGTAGTTGTGCAAATACCGCCTCACCCCTGGCTGGCAGAACAAGGATCCTGTTGGAGGGTAACGTTAGTTGGCGCCTTCCTGTAGTTAACGTAGTAAGCGTCGACGGAGGGCAGGAGATTTGCAGGGAGGACCTCTATAGTAAGCATCAGGGTGCCATAGACTGGAGACGCCCTCACCTTCACCTCCAGCAGCGTCAAGTCACCTACAGAAGGAGGAGGGGGAGGTGACATTTAGGCTTTAACACAACATAAACACAGACCCAACACCAACACCTTATAGTGAACCTTGGCGTCCTTAGAACACCACCTATCACAGGAGATAACATCATTATATTTAAATTGTGTATCTGACGAGTAACACAACCAAATAAAAGATAAAGTTTAACATCAGATCGTTCCATAAATTGAGTCCCTACACTGTAAAATCATTCCGAGTTTGCTCTTGTTGACACTGTATGCTTGAAAGATTATTTAGTCAATGAGGTACATAATTTAATTCTCAAGACATACCACCAGGCACAGTACTCACACTCAGGATCCCGACCATTAGATTTAGACGCGTATAACTGAGACTCCTGCGTCAGATTCACTCCTGATAGAAAGGTGTTGATCTGCCGGAGACACAGACGCGGGTTGCCTTGGAAGAACACATCTCCCTGGTCGATGGTGAAGTTGTGGCCGTGGAGGACCCAGGAGGTGAGGTTGTAGAGGTTAGGGTTCTCCACCACCACCAGGGATCTGAAGGAGGGACACATGGTTAACTCCCTCACACACTATACTATACTCTTATGTCGGTGTACAACTCAATTAGTTTACATTCTCGTTACATTATTTGTTACCTGTAATTTCTGTGTATATTGCTTACCTGTATTGTCTAATCTACATACATGCTGAAGCAATTTGAACTTCTATGAATATTTTACTTTATAAACTCTCTCTCTCTCTCTCTCTCTCTCTCTCTCTCTCTCTCTCTCTCTCTCTCTCTCTCTCTCTCTCTCTCTCTCTCTCTCTCTCTCTCTCTCTCTCTCTCTCTCTCTCTCTCTCTCTCTCGCCATCAGTCACACACACTGCACTTCACCCTTGACTCATCAAAGACGTCTTCAGTGATCACACCTCCACTACCCGCTATAAGGCTGTAGACGTTAGAGCACAGCAGTAATACAGTACAACACTCTCACTTACGCCCCTCTTGCCCTCACCTGTTATACTCCAGTTCCTCTCCACGGATACGTTTGAGGTTGGGGAGTATACTGACGGAGGTGATGTTCGTCCTCAGGATCTTCAGGTACCCTCGTATCTCCTGTATGTTAGCCAGGTGTTGCTTTAGCTCCCTCTCCACGTTTTCTGTGAGAGATAACAGTGCTGGTCAGTGATGGTGTATTAGATTCAATGAGGTAGAGGTTTATCTTTCTCAGTGAGGGACACGATGGAGGTACAGTGAACAACTTACCTCCACCAGGTAGGGAGATGATAAGGACGTCGACGGAGGTACAGTGTTGGAGAAGCTGGGCCTCACCGATGCTCCTGACGTAGGCGATGTCGGAACACTCTGTAGCAACACGTCCACACACACACTCCTTACTGTTTTAACTCACTATTTATTTACATATATTTGGGTGTTTAGGTTACAACTATATAATAATATTGTTTTGAACTTCAGTTTATCCCAGGAACAGAGAGAGAGAGAGAGAGAGAGAGCTTACCACGGACGGGGTAGCAGTAGGCGCCCTTCTTATGATGATTGGGGGAAGTACAGGTCTTCACACATTCCCCCGTGGACACCATCAGCAGGAGCCCCCTGGACTTACACTCCTCCTGCTCCACGCACTCCTCACCCACCTGCCGAGGACAACACAACACACCTGTTACAGCCGATACATCTATCACACCTATGACCACATAACATTCTGTGACACATCTATAGTTGTCTACAAACCTTTGATGTATAGCGTGTGTGTGTGTGTGTGTGTGTGTGTGTGTGTGTGTGTGTGTGTGTGTGTGTGTGTGTGTGTGTGTGTGTGTGTGTGTGTGTAGACTATCAAATGTGAGCAAAAATGCACGCGCGCATGTGTGTGTTTTATGTACGAGTATTATGTAAGTATCAACTGTGTACACACCTGGTAGGCGGAGGCGGGACAGGCGCGGATGCACACCCCGGCCTGGGCTACATGTCTGCAAGCGACGCAGGCGGAGGCGTTGTGAGGGGAGGAGCAGCCGCCCACACACATCTCATGGCAGCACACCCCGCCCACACACCCTCCCTCACACTCACGTGGGCACACTGCTCCGGGGTAGACCAAATGTGTGGGACTCTGTAAGCGCTAACAGTTTTATATCTTATCACGTTACGCTAAATAGAAATAATCACATGAATAAGTCTTAAAACGCAACTTGTACTATCATAACAGAACTCGAATATACCTACATTATGTTACGTTATATTAGTTTGTTTAGTTGTTTATTTACGGTTTGTGTTATGAAGGTCAGCTTAATTTATCTCCCTCAAAAGGAAGTACTGTACATACCCTGTCGAGTCAGTGTACAGTCGAGAGGTCAACCCAGGACCGTCTCCTAGTTGTTGACCTGTTGCCGAGAATATGTTTTAGATGTGAACTATGACCCAGCTACTGAAGCCGCCCCAAGAATAATAAGGTTAGGTTAAGTTAGGTTAGATTTAGTTAGATTGGGTTGGGTTGGGTTGGGTTGGGTTGGTGTTGGGTTGGGTTGGGTTGGTGTTGGCTTGGGTTGGCTTGGGTTGGGTTGGGTTGGGTTAGTCTTGTTTTCTTGTTAAGCGAATCAACTGTTTTGTTTTGTTTTCATTATTTTATTTAGTGATTTAGGTTACGTCAGCCAATTAGGTACACATACTTAAATCTTCACCTGTGACAAGTATATAGTGTACCAATATTTATAAACAAAACACCAAACACCCAGATACAGTGTTGGAGATTCATCCCCTCTCAACACGAACACTTGTCCACCAACCAACAACAAAATAAGGACACACACTCACAAAAAAAATGATAAAAGATAAATGAACAAACAAGTATTAAAAAAAAAACCCAATGACAATACTGGAATCAACATGAGGAGAAACTATCACTTTGTACATATTATTAAAAAACCCCACAAAAAACACTCAAGCAATTACAATCAACTTGTGCAAATGACGGACTATATAACGATGCCTGCAACGTGTTTACCCCCGTCAACAGCTGGTCACTGGGACTATTTCTCATCCTCACACACACATCACTAACATCAATACGTTGTTTATGTCGAAATTTATACCTTTATTGGGACGTAAATTCATTCATAGGAGAGCGAAGCAAGTGAGAGATGAGCGATAATTCAGTCTAATGATGCCTGACTGTGAATCTCTTATGTCGATTGGGTAAAAATTGTAGAATATTATGCTTAACGCGAGGGAAGAGGCGGAGTCTGGTATAAAACGGCGCGGTTCTCAGAGGGCTCCTGGTCGCTTAGTGTCCAGATTATGGTGATTTACAGTGGGAGTTAGTTGTCGTTCTTTTGAGTCAGGTGATGATCAGGGATTATTAGCCACACACACACACTCACATCCTGCCTGGGGTGGAGTAGGATCTGTGTAGTGTAGTGTAGTGTAGTGTAGTGTAGTGTGGTGTGTCATGTCGTAGCGTGGCGAGACATGACGTGGTGGCGTAGTAGTAAAATTAACCACATCATCAAGCAGGAGACTTGTCACTATAGGAACAGAGGAATAAAGAGCTTAGGAGACCTTCAGAGAGAGAGAGAGAGAGAGAGAGAGAGAGAGCAGGAACCGCCCCATCTCAGGAACACGCACACACAAAACTGACTCCAAGACCTAACACCTTCCTGACGTACTGGATATAGATAGAGATGGAATAATGGAATTCAACCTGTGTCTTGAGATCTTCCTAGGCTGTGTGTCTGGGCAAGAGTCTTTGGTGGGATCTTTTCTTGGTTGAATCGACTCATTTTTTCACCAATGTCTCTATACCTGTAGTGTCCGTGTATTTAAAACAATATTAAATTGTTTGATGATTTTACAGACTAAAGCTCTCTCTATCTATGTATCTTGTGCGAGGTCTGCTGTCCTTACACGTTGAAGAAAGAAAGAAAAGAAGAATATTGAGATAAAACTAGAACGGGGAAAGGAAACGGAAAGAAGAACAGAGAGATTAAACACAATAAAGATGAGGAATAGGATAATTGAGATAAATTATAGAAACATTATCGTTCAAGCCTCAACTATCAGACAAGAGACGATGATGGCGTCCATAACAAAGGTAGTGACAGACAGACAGACAGACAGACAGACAGCCAGACGGACAGACAGACAGACAGACAGACAGACAGACAGACGGACAGAAATATTATGGAAAATTCAGAAATATCGTGGTTAAAAAAAAAATAGCTTGGGAGTGGCAGCTGAGGTACAACTCGTGGATAAAGTCTCAACACCATCATCACCACATTAGCGGATATCCTACCCCCCTCCCTCTCCTCCTCTTCCCCCCCTCCTCCTCCTTCGCGGGGTCAGGGGTGAAACATATAACATTACCCCGTCCAAAAAACACTGCTGACTGTGGCCATGTACGCACTGACTCCCTCTCCAGGGACCACACACACACACACACACACACACACACACACGTTACATGATCCTGACAGCTGAAGTACCAGACGGTGTAAGATGGTTTGCTCTTTTCTTTTTATTCTCCTCCTCTCTTTCTTCCCTCTCCTCCTCTCTTTCTTCCCTCTCCTCCTTCTTCTTAATTAGCATCATCATTTTTTCCTCAACTTCCTTTTCTTCTCCCTCCTACTTTTCTTCTTCTTCTTCTTCCTCCTTCTTCTTCACAAATTGTATCTTATTTTTCTTCCTATTCTTCTTCTTCTTCCTCCTCCTCCTCTCCTTTTTCTCTTCTTCCTCCTCCTTCGTTTTCCTAATTCCCATCTTCTTTTCCTTTTTCCTCCACTCCCTCTTCTTCTCCTTCCTCCTCTTCCTCCTCTTTCTCTTTCTGCTCCTCTTCCTCCTCTTTCTCTTTCTCCTCCTCTTCCTCCTCCTCTTGGTGTTCGTTGATCACCAAACAAAAGTATTTTTCCAAACTTCATAATACGATTTTTTTTCAATTCTTGCTTATTTTTTATTTGTTTTATATAATGTGTTGTGATGAGAGATGTGTTGTGATGAGAGATGTGTTGTGATGAGAGATGTGTTGTGATGAGAGATGTGTTGTGATGAGAGATGTGTCGTGATGAGAGATGTGTTGTGATGAGAGATGTGTCGTGATGGAGAGAGATGTGTTGTGATGAGATGTCGTGATGAGAGATGTGGTTAGATGAGAGATGTGTTGTGATGAGAGATGGGTTGTGATGAGAGATGTATAGGATGAGAGATGCTGTGTTGTGATGGAGATGTGTTGTGGATGTGAGATGTGTTACAGATGAGAGATGTGTCGTGATGAGAGAGATGTGTCGTGATGAGAGATGTGTTGTGATGAGAGATGTGGGGTTGTGATGAGAGATGTGTTGTGATGAGTGATGTGTTGTGATGAGAGATGTGTTGTGATGAGAGATGTGTTGTGATGAGAGGATACGTGATGAGAGATGTGTCGTGATGAGAGATGTGTTGTGATGAGTGATGTGTCGTGATGAGATGTGTTGTGATGAGAGATGTTGTGATGAGAGATGTGTCGATGAGAGATGTGTTGTGATGAGAGATGTTGTGATGAGAGATGTGTTATGATGTTATGACCACATAAATATTCTATGACATCTATAGTTGTCTACAAACCTTTGATGTATAGCGGTGTGTGTGTGTGTGTAGGTAGTGTGTGTGTGTGTGTGTGTGTGTTATAACGTCATTGTATAAAGTGAAGCGGAAATGCGATAAATATGGTAAAGCCACAATAATGAATATTTCCTCTTTACTGTATACATACATACATACATACATACATACATACATACATACATACATACATACATACATACACACACACACACATACATACCCTACGGCTACGCTAACCTAACCTAACCTAACCTCCTCCTCCAGGTATAGTGTTGGGTATTTTAATAATCAATTTAATAATCATGTAATATAAGCTGGGGGAGAGAGGGAAGGAGGGAGGGAAAGAAGCAAAGGGGAAGGAGAGAGAGGGAAGGAGGGAGGGAGGGAAGGAGGCTGAAGGAAGGAGAGAGTGGGGGGGAAAGGGAGGGAAGGAGTGAAGGAAGGAAGGAGAGAGTGGGGGGAAAGGGAGGGAAGGAGTGAAGGAAGGAAGGAGATAATACTCACGCAGCTGGCAGTGGTCAGGCCCCCAGCACCGCGTATCCTCACAATTACTCGACTCACGACACTTCCCAGGACACGATGCACACTCCCCCTTCAGGCGGTTCCTCTGTCGATAAGACCACAGTCGATGTTACTAAATGAACAAGACAGACAAGAAATTCTATCCCAAATATTGAATGTGTTTAAGTTATATTTTTGTTCTCATTTGCATATTGAATATTTTATGTTTGTATGATCTGTATAGCTACCTGAGTTGTGTATATGCATGCTGAACTCTCTCTCTCTCTCTTTCTTTATGTGCCAAGACAGTATATACCTTGGGGACGGAACTTTCGGTAATCAGCCATATATTATACCCCGGGCTTACCTTTATGACGTTCTCCCTGAGGCGGTACCGAGTGATGTTGTCCCAATCGACGGTGTGGGCGTAGCAGAGGGAAGGGTTCCTCTCTATCCTGACGGAGCCGCGCAGGATGGTAGTGAGGGAGTGAAGCCCCACATCCTCTAGGTGAGACAGACTGTACACCACCAAAGCGTAGTTGTGGAAGAGCGTGATGCCCCTGTAGAGACGAGGAAAGGTGTGAGAGAGACGGATGAGGAGGTGGGTCACGGATGCAGTGTCAAGGTGTTTTAAGGAGTCTGTCCTATGTCGCCGTCTAGGAATACACCGAAACACCTGTAGTTATGGAGAAGGTGTGAGGGAAAAGTGGTGTTGTAATGGCGTTGCAACTGATGTACACATAGGAGCATAAGACCACAAGAGGAACACCTTTAACGAGAATAAATATGAATTATTCACACGGAAATCACAAAAAAGGTGTCAGGTGAAGGCTAGAGTGACCTAAAGACACCTAAGAGGACTCACCTGATACCAGAGAGGCCAGTTAACAAGCGGGTGAGGCCCAGGTAACACAAGAGGACTCACCTGATAACAAGGGGTTGAGGCCCAGGTAACACAAGAGGACTCACCTGATAACAGAGAGGCCAGTTAACAAGGGGTTGAGGCCCAGGTAATACAAGAGGACTCACCTGATAACAGAGAGGCCAGGGAAGAGGGAGGCGAGGGAGGTAAGGCCTTTTACGTGATACAGGAGCAGGTAATCGGTGATCTCCCTCAGGTACGGAAAGGTGAAGTTTCGCAGCACCTGGTTGTCATCACCCTCGTCCTGGGGGTAAAACACACATGTCAGTCCAGCGGTCAGAAGATGTTTTGGAACTTGATAAAAACGGTACATGTTAACTTCAGGAATCATAACCTAACCTAATCTAACCTAACCCAGTGTTTACTTTTATTGTGAATCTCTGTCTATCTGTCCAGCTGTCCATTAATGGCTGTCTCTTTCCCTTTGTCTTCTGCATATTTATCTGTTTATCTCACTGTCTCTCTTTCCCCTTCTCTTCTTTTCTCTCCGTCTATATTAATTTTTGTCTCTATTTTGCTATCTCCCTTCCTAAAGATTCCCGCCTGGAGAGAGAGAGAGAGAGAGGTAATTGCTGATATATATTTATGTATATATATATATATATATATATATATATATATATATATATATATATATATATATATATATATATATATATATATATATATATATATATTTGTTTATTTTTTTTTACATTTCCACAAAACAGCACCAGCAAAAACAGTCAGCAACGCCTGGCGAATCCCTTTCATCCCTCAATACTGCAACAAATATCATCAGACTTATGTTCGTCCGCCTTCTGCCTACGCTGGCGATCAATGAGAGTGGCTGCACTTACCTTCATCAGGGTAATACTAAGATGTCCCAACACTCGTACACACGGGCAGAGCTTCGCCAGGCTCTGTGGGTAGTTTCCAGGGAGAGACTATAGCAGCCTGTGGAAGAGATAGTATTGGTCTCTCCTTTTTGACTATCATGTTATTTCAATAAACCAACTATCACACACACACACACACAGGTCCTAAAACATATGGGGGAGGAGGAGGTAGTTTAATATAAGATATATCTAATTCAAATGACTCTATCGCCGAGCTCTGGGTCAGGACACGTGAGAGTGACCCTTTACCTGTAGGTTATTTACCGTGTAACAAATAGTCCATTGTTCCCTGGACGGTTCCTCAAGCTTACATGAGTGTGTGTGTGTGTGTGTGTGTGTGTGTGTGTGTGTGTGTGTTTTGTTCCAATTGTTTATATTCGTTGTGGTCGTGTGTCTTGTCCACGCGGGGTAGGGTCGGTAATTGGTGGGACCCGCTCGATAAATCAGGTGTTCCAGTTGAATACATAACAGCATTACAGTACACTGACCAACACCTGTAAATCATCCTCAATAACCACGACAATTTTGCTACGCTATATTCACCACTAGATTTTCTCCACCGATGTATGCACGCCCACACGCCCACACGCCTACACGCCTTACACTCCTACTACCATCACAGTCCACACACCACACACCACTACATACCACCACTACCACACCATTCTCCTACGCGTTACCAGAGCCACACACAACACCCATTAGAGCCACACAGAGTCACGATATATGGCACGAAGCAAACAAGGTGACACCAGGCATTCTCATGAGCCAGACCTTAGCCATATAGAGTACTCGCCCTTATCACAAGAGTGTTAAGACTGCCTCACTCCAGTAACACACACACACACACACACACAGAGGTCACATCAAGGTCAGGGGAGGAAGAGAAGGAGGGAGACTGCACCTGGTGACAGCGGGTCGACTCCTGGCTAAATGTTCACAATGTTACACACAAGAACAGGTGTGACTCTCCACCCTCACGCCCCTCACTTCCTGCTAACACCTCAGACTTATATCAAATAAAACAGAAAAATGGAAGAAAGAAACTCATCAGGAGTAAATCAGAGGCAATGGAATAAAGACTCTTTGTGTTAGTACTCGCCCCAGACAGCCAGGAGAAGTTACAATGAAAGCCCCGGCCACTCCTGACTCGTGAAAAGTTAAAAAGTTGGACATTTGCGGCATCAGGCGACGTCGAAACGAGGAAAATTCCTACACCTCGCCATACTTTCGCTTAGTTTATGCGACATTCTTGTCATTTTGCATACTTAGGACCCGCAGGTGGCAGCTTATTAGCAAGTAAAGTGGCTGTGGCTGGACAGTAATAAAGAGGAGACCGCCCGCTGGTGTTCCTTCAAGTTGCTTTGCTGTGCCCGGAGCAGATTGGTCACACTCCTTGCTAACACGTTATACATATCAGGCGATAGAGTCGGGGTCAGGGGGGAACACTGGCCGCTGGTACACCACTACAGGGAGGAGGGTCAGGTAGAGTGGAGGGTCAGGTGGAGTGGAGGGTCAGGTGGAGTGGAGGGTCAGGTGGAGTAGGTAGAGTGGAGGGTCAGGTAGTGTAGGTGGAGTGGAGGGTCAGGTAGAGTAGGTAGAGTGGAGGGTCAGGTAGTGTAGGTAGAGTGGAGGGTCAGGTAGTGTAGGTAGAGTGGAGGGTCAGGTAGAGTAGGTATAGTGGAGGGTCAGGTAGTGTAGGTGGAGTGGAGGGTCAGGTAGTGTAGGTAGAGTAGAGGGTCCGGTAGTGTAGGTAGAGTGGAGGGTCAGGTAGAATAAAGGGTCAAGGTTGATGGAGGAACATAAACATGAGAATCGAGGAAACTACAGCTTTTCTATTCGCCCTTACTCGGTAGCCACGTTTACACCCAACCCTTGTCACTCATATATCCGTCCACCGTATATTTGAAGGGAGGACAGGGTGGGTTTGTGTGTGTGTGTGTGTGTAGAGAGAGAGAGAGAGAGAGTAACAGGTAGACACTGAGCTCCTCCTCTCCATACCTGACCCACAAGTTTCCTCTTCCCTTTGTATCACACCTCTGCACACACCTTAGTACACCTTAGCATATTTTTGTACTTAATAGCACACCTTAGCACACTTTAACGTACCTTAACCGAATTTAGCATATATTAGAACATCTTAGCACAATTTAGTACACCTTAGCACACCTCAGCACACCTTAGCACAATTTAGTACACCTTAGCACACCTTAGCATATGTTAGCATACTTAAGCAGGACACACATTGTAATCTCACCTTCTTAAATCGTATTAGTCTTTGTGGAAGTGTAAAAAGTACGACACCTGGCCTAATTAACCTGTCCTAAAGATAACGTAGCTTAAAACAACTTATTCTGAACGATAATTGTTGCCTGAGTGACTCGTGTGTGTGTGTGTGTGTGTGTGTGTGTGTGTGTGTGTGTGTGTGTGTGTGTGTGTGTGTGATACTAAAATATATGTTAAACTTGTATTATTTAATTTAGTTCTGCCTGGAATCATGCATTTAGAAACGGAAATAGATGGATAGATATTCAGTTAAAACTTCATTGAGTTTACAATTGGTTTGGCATTTATAAAAGCAGTGCAGGTATATAGTTTAGCATGTACTTTCTGGAGACAACGTAGGTATATAGTTCACATAGACCGTGTGGGTATATAATTTCCAATATACCTATACACTGCAGGTATAGAAACAATGGTAAATAGTATGG